TATATATATATAAAAAAATATATATATATATATATATAAAGAATAGCATCTCAGATTGATTGTGTTTAAAAAGTCCTAACATTTCGGTGCACAGTCATATCTGAGATAAATTAAATTCATAAACCAAAAATATTATATTATTCGAAAAATCTAACTTTGACAATCTTCGGCACTCTTTATTATATTTAAATTATATCTAATATAAAATAAAATTTCGTTGAAATAATATTTAAATATCTGTAGCAATTTAAGGGAAAAATTGCTTTAATATTAAATTCTAATGAAAGAAAGATCAGATTTATGTTTGAATCGAACGACCTTGACGTATACGTCATCTTGAGATCGATCGATATAGGAAAAGGATCAAATAGTAACATTGTAGGATGCAACAGGAAATCTAAATTGATATTAGGTCTTTTCATTCATCTTATCACGTTTCTCTTTCAGAGATTCGAGTCCTAGGAGAGCCAAGAATGGAAAGAACATTGAGCATGATTCCTTTCGAGTTCTTCATTCACTGTCTCACTGAACCCGTACCATCTGGCCTTCCACCTGTGCCTAACCAACTGTTTCTTTGTCAGTACAACCAGAGCAAGTCCGGTTTCAATCTCAAATCTCTTTCATCATTTTATCTCACGACAAGATAAGATAGCGAATAAGGTAATATCAATCCACATTTAAAAGTATTCACCCATTCTCCTAAATATGTATAGATAAAATTTTGCATCTTGATATCGAAACAGTCGAAGTGTGAGATGATCTCTTTCAATAAGAAAACGTTAAAAAATAGAAATTATCTTTTAGATTTGCGTGTATAAATATTTCAATTTTTTACAAAAAAATCCACAAGTTTGTGACAGACTTTTTCTCATGAATTATAGGAAGATATATTTGAAACTTTAAATTGTAACATTAATGCACGCGTACGTTAATAAAGTAATAATTAAAGATATATATATATATTACTCTCTTTTTGACACATACCTCATAGTGTTAATACGATTTCATGGGAATTAAATGAACATAATAACCCTTTCATCCCTTTGTCGAACAATATCCATTATTACAATATTGCATCATGGTTTTATATTATGCAAGCTTTGAACTTTTCCATGATCATTTTCAAGATAAGAGAATACAAAGTAAAAAATAAAAATTTTTATTTGCAATTCTTAAAGACTTATATCGATATTTTATATTTTATATTTTATATTTTATTAATAAAAAATTCTCAAATCTCTTTATAATTAAACATTAAGAACATAGAAAATGTGAATATTATAAAAAAAAGAGTGCTGTTATATTTTAAAAAATAAAAAAATAAGTAAATCTTTAGTTCCTGTGCTTTATATTCGTATGTTTAAAAAAAAATTACCGTAAAGAATAAAATTATAAGTGGTTCCGGCCGGGATCGAACTGGCGACCTTCTGCGTGTAAAGCAGACGTGATAACCGCTACACCACGGAACCTCTCCAGTACTCGTTATATTTATGATTATTTACCGATTCTTAATAAAGAATTATTATTCTTAAATAATTATATTATTTAATATTAAAATTGATTAATTAAATAAAATATAATTATTTTTGTAAATGTTAAGCGGCAAAGTCATTTTTCTAAGATATTACAATTTTACATGTTACTTATAACTCGATCGATAAATCATGTGGCTTTCTCTCGCGTCGTATAGATGGCAATCTATACATATTGTCAAATGTGAATTAAATTCATACGAGTTCGATGTTACACCTTTTCCTTTTTTTAATTTTATAAGTTCAAAGTTATATCTTATTTATGATAATAAAAATGTAATAAGAAGAATAAAGGATGTTTTTAATAGATATCTTTTCCAGCAAACGAGAATGGATTAAAATGGATTGAAATTTTTTTTCTATCCGAATGCATATTTTAAATAGCTTTTTTTGGATTTAATTGAATTCAATTAGAATCAATTGGATGCAATTAGATTAAAAAACTGAATTTCCTATTCAAAATTTTGAATTGAACAGTATTCACAATGCACAGAAAAAGCTAATATTATTTTTAGATTGAAAAGCATAGAGATATGCTCCATGCAATTCCTATAAATGAATAATAGTGCATTCAGGATTGAAAAGCATTTTAACATTCGTGAATTAATATTTCTGAAAATCCATTTCAATTCATTTCAATCCATTCTCGTTTGCTGCGACATTTATTTAATTTATATTTTAATATAAACTGTCGCAGAATATGTTTTTACTGCTTTTTTCATTGGCAATAAAAATTAGATTTTGTCATCTTATAAATTACAGGATATTTTTTATGCTTTCTTACATTAAAATTTTACTTAGCGAATTAAAGCACTGTTACAAAAATTGACTTTTACTTTAATTTATTTCTATAACAATTTTAATATTTTTTGCATCTTTCTTTCATTACTACATTTTATTTTAAGTAAAAAAGAAATAAATTAAATTAATTAATAAGAAATAAATTAAACTAAATACTTATACATAATCAAACCTGTATCTTTTAAAATTATTTTTCAATGAAATTAAATGTATATTATTGCAAATGTGTGTATAAATGATTCAGGATGTCTAGCAAGACACGTATTTAGAATAGCGAACATGTAACTTTTTCTCTAGAGTGAAAACGTGAAAAGTGAACATTTTTATCTTCAATGAGATAAAATTTTCACTTTTTTACGTTTCCATCTTAAGAAATAGTTACATGATTGCTATTTAACACAAAAGCAGTTTAATAAGCATTTTACACTGATTGAATTACACTTTTATCGATCTGTGATTGAAACAGAGAGCTATTTCTCATAGATCTAAAAATGTAATCCAATTAGCTCAAAGTGCTCATTAAATTAGTTTTTCTACTAAATGCAACTACTTGTAACGCAGTGAATTATTTCTTATTTAACATTGACAAATAATAAAAACAAGATAATTCACTGTATTCACTGTATATTTTGTCTGTATGTTATTTTCGCAAGAATTTTGATTTTATTGATAATATGAAAATGTGTTAAATACATCTAATACAGTGAATATGTAATCATAAGTGTATTATACACATAAAATTATTGTTATATAAAATCTATATTTACTATAGCCTACAATCACACACACAACATACATAAATGTTCTTTAAAGTGAGATAAACTATTTATATGGTATGAAAAAAGTTTCTTCATGCAAGAGTCCTCGGTAGTATAGTGGTTAGTATCCCCGCCTGTCACGCGGGAGACCGGGGTTCGATTCCCCGCCGGGGAGTTTTTTGTAATATTTTTTTTATATCATTGTTATATAACAATTACTTTTTATTTCATTTATGTAACAGTTTAATATTTAATAACATATACTTTAATAAATTATTTTAGAAAAAATTAAATTAATATCACACACAAAATATCTAAGATAATATTTGTATCTAATATTAAAAGCTTTGATGTTTTGTATATAACGTCTAAACAAAATTTGTTGCTAAGAAAAGCGATTGATTCTAAATTTAAAGAACAATTTATCATTAAAGGAAATTTAATGCAATTAAATTAAAACATTTTATGAATATTTTCAATATTCTAGTTTAAATTAGAATTCTTTTAATTTTTCTCATTATATATGTAACATAAAAGCCCAGTTTCTTTATTATATGTTATTATATGTATACCTAGTGAACTTGAGATTTAGACTCAACTCACTTTTGATGATAATGTAAAAATCGTGTTTTTCTAGCTATAATTAATAATTATGATTAATAGCTATAATTAATTAAACTAGTAGTTTTGCATACTTTAAAAGTTACTCACTACAAAATCATTTTAGTGATTAGCTATAGCTAGAACAATACAATTTTTACATATTATTATTAAGTTAAGCCTAGTTATAATCAAAAAATAAAAAAATTAATTCAAGAAATTAACATTCTGTTAACAGCGAAATCGTTTAAATATAATTTAAATACATGATATTAGATTAGATAATTTATTTTTGCAGAAGATTGCCAAATCATGTGTTACTTATACAAAATATCCACGTTATATATATAATAGGTAAATTAAAAAATATGCCAAATTAATCAATATCTATATATCTATATATCAATATCTATTGTACATATAGGAAGATAATAATTTACAGTTGTTGGTGTATTGAAGATAAAAGATAAGTATTTGTTGGGGGGGAGAAATACATACAATTATATAGCATATAAAGACATACAATCTACGTTTTCATTAAACACACATTTATACAAACATACATTTATGTATAATCACATAAATAAATCAATCCTTTAATAGGAACGAAATATCATAATGTACATATGTAATAATATAATAGATAATATTAACTGTACGTGTATAATATGTTAAAAATATTGTCACAACACACACCGATTATATTCATAATTGTTTTGTTTCTTAGTTACGATAGGATATATTCTATGTAATTATGAACTAACTTTCTGTGTGAGGAACATGATTTCATAAAAAATCTCATTTTGATACATATTTAAAAAAAAGAAGTATTAATATTTTTTAATAATATTATTTATATACTAATATTAATCATATATTTTTCTATATTTGAAATGTCTCTAGTTTTTCTTCGCAATTACATAAGCAATTAATTACATAATATAAAAGCAAAAAAGTATATATAATTATAAAATATGCATAATAAATGCAGATATTGAGAATTGAAACTTGATTAAGATTATTATTGATACTTGATTAATATTATTTTGCTGATTTGAGACGAGTTTAAAAAATATTACTGAAAATCAATGTGCGATATTAATAAATGAAATGAATAATTAGTTAATGAGAAGTGCTTCTTATCCATCGATGTTGATAAATCTTTTAAACGGACGAATATAAATCTTTTAGCTTTGTTATTTTTAAGCCGCTAAAAATATTCATATTTTCATCTCAACAAGATGGCGAATTTTACAGCTTACAATTAGTCTGACGTAGAATAAAATTAAATTATTTAATGGATTTCATTTCATTTATCGTTTTCTTTTTTTATAGCCGCTGCGAGGCAACAAGCAAGAACAATACCGGCAATCTAAAAAAGAAAAAAATTTGTTTTTTTAATTCAAAATATTCCTATAATAATATTTGATGAACAAATTTAAATACAATTTACATTTTTGTTATAATAAAGAACTATATAATTCTTAAATTGAAAAACTTTCTGTACATCTATTACTTTTTACTTAATAACCGTTTAATTTTATTGCAATAAAGTATTGGCTTGATTAAAATATTGTATGAATTGATTAAAATATATAGGTATAAATTAAAACTTTACTCGCCTCCACAAAAGCTATTCCAATGCCCACACCAATTAAGACTGTCGCACTATTTTGAACTCGCATTTCCAACTTTCTAAAGCATCCTTCTGTATTTGCTGTCGCGATTTGACAGACCAACATTGTCTCATTGCAACATGATGACGGGATTCCTGCTGGATTATCAATCCAATCTCTAGGACCATCCGCACCGCAACATTGCAGCTGTCGTATAAAGATAAAATAATTATTGATATATAATCCGACTTAATTTAAAAAGTTTAAACAATTTAATACTTATTTTAAATAATTCATAAATAATTATTTTTTGTTTGTTATTTTGGCTCAGCGCCAATACTGATTAAAGGTAAATCGAAACACATCCCGTACAGCACAGAAACTTGTAGCAATATTGCCGCAACATTTCAATGTTGTATATTGCAATACAATGTTGCAGAAACATTGCGAAGACTTCTTATTGCAATATTACTTCAGCAATGTTGCAGCAATATTTTTTAAATATTTTTAGCAAGAAACACATCGATACAAGAATCTTGTTCAAAAATCAGTAAGAAACAAAGATAAGAATGACTTTTGTCACTGTATCGATTTATGCCTCTGCTAGAAAGTTCACTTTGAATGTTATATCCAATAAAGAAGGACCTGGACATAATAGAAGAATAGGAATTAATAATCACGTTTACACGGCATACTTAACGAGTTTCATAATATCTGTAGTTATGAAACTGACCAATCTCATATTCCTCTAAAAAATGAAATGGTTAATGTTTACAAATATTATTATATCTGATTAATGTCTATTTCTATCAATATAAATTAATTTTAATCTCAGTTCAACTTATCTTTGTCTTTTTCTAGTTCTAAAGATTAGAAAAAGACGAAGAGTAAGTTGAATCGAGATTAAAGTTAATCTACATTAGTGAAAACGAATGTAAACGTAGTCAATATCTATAATTTATAGGAATTGTGCCTATAATTTATAAACATAAAACAAGTAGAAATAAGGATTAAATATAACGCACAATGGACATAATAATAAGATATAAAACATATAATATAAAAAGTTAGAAGTAGGAGTTAAATGTAATATACAATGAATACAAAATAAAATATGACTTCATAATTAATTATATCTTTATATTTTATAGAGGTATTCCGATGTGCACAGTCAGTACTGAAAATTTATAGTTCACGTTACGTATACTGTAGATTTTCATTACTGACAGTGTATATCGGAACACGCTTATAAAATATAAAGACATAATTAACTATGAAGTCATATTTTATTTGTATTCATTGTATGTTACATTTACTCCTACTTCTATAATTTTTTATATTTATATAATACAAAATCTTATAATAAATACTGCAGTAACGTTGTAATATTACAGCAATGTTGCTGCATTATTACAATGTTTTTGCAATAATACTGCAAATATTCCTGTGCGCAAAACCTAATATTGCATATATATTATGTTATAATATTGCTGCAACATTACGTATCAATATTTTTAAAACGGATATTTTTACGTTGCTGCAATGTTGCTGAAATATTGCAGCAATATTTCGCAATATTTTTGCAATGTTGTAATCTTGCAATGAAATATTGCTGCAATATTTTTGTGCTGTATGGGAAGGCGAATTAATATAAATTTGAGAATTAGTCGAAATTTATCATTAATTTTGTTTTTTCTTTCAAACGAATTGTTTAACCTTGCAAATTAATTTCCGCTTCTTCTGCACCAGAAAAATAAACAATTTTGTAGTTTGTGTGATTTAATGTTAATCAATGATATAAGCGCACAGATCGTGAATGCACGAAGAATTTTTTTTCTTACACAAATCACGATTCCAAAAAAAATTACGTTATAAAAAATTATAACTTTTTTATAACTTTGTAACGAGAAGGTATGTTGAAAATAATAATAATTTTTATAATGTATAGTTTGCTAAATTAGTTTAGTAAACTGATGTTCGCTTTGTTCTTCAATTTCGGAATAAATTGGATAATTTATTCTTCTTAATTTTTTCATTGAATAATAAGAAATATTTTGTTTATGTAATATTTTATTATATGAAATCTAAGCCAAGTTGGAAAAAATAAAAATTTTAATAAAACTTTTTTTTATTGAAATTTTAATAAAACTAGTTTTTTATTATTTTTTTATCATGAATGAAAAATGATTTAATTTACCTCGATCTACTTTATTTAATTACGCGATTTAATTTATATAATATATTCTGTTACAAAACTATTGTTGTCAAAATAGGACAAAGTAATTTAAGATATTGAAAGATATAAAATGTTGTAAAATGTTAATACGAAGAGAATTAGAATAGTCAATGTACAATATACTAAAACAGGTTTAATTGTCTATTTGCACACGATGATTATTTCAAGTGACCTAACCCATCATTATAGAAACCATTGTTTTCTTTATGGTACGGAAGCTATACTACAATATTTCATCACCTTTTATATCGACAAATTCATTATTATGTTGTGCTCCAGATTCAGTTTACTGACCTTTTTCTGTATGTTATCCCAGGCTTGCCTGTCAGTCTCCGTATAGTTTTTTATCGATTCCTTTAGGGTATTCTTCATCGCCATGCTAAAATCGTTTTTAAACACTGCTGCAGCTATGCCCACCGCGAGCTCAATTATGAAGATTATTAACAATGCGACCGCAAACTATATAAATTATTTTTAATATTAATATAATTAATCAATCATAATTAATCAAAGATTATATACAACTATAATTTAGAATTATTTATTGTTTTTCATCACAAAAAAAATAATATTTAAAAACAAAACAAAATAAAGACATTTGAAATTATATGTACAGTTTTATACATATATTTACCTATATTAAATAAACATGAAATCTCTAATTTAATTTTAATTAAGCTTTTTGGAAATTTTATTGAGATGAACTCAAGTATATAAAATAAATATATAAAATAATAAAATATCTAGTATATTAAAATGAACAGAATTTTGGGACATTTTAAAGTAAACAGATTAATAGAGAGAGACAGGTTATATTTTCATAAAAAAATATTATCAAATTTTTAATGATTTCTGTTATTTCGATAATTATTTAAAGGGTTACATACACACCTAGAAGCACTAAAAATAATCCCATTCATGAATTTTTTTTTCCGAATATATTAAAAATATCAAATCGTTTGTACCAATATTTTATATAAGATTTTGTCGAAAAACATAAAATTTTTATTAAAAAATATTTAAATGCAAGCAAGATATTGCCGTTGGTATCACAGACATATTAGCTGCTATAGTTGTTTGCGATGCAAACTGTAGGCGGTGTCTACTGTATAATCTATATAGTTCATCCGAAACACAAAAACGTAATAGATTAAAAATGTATAAATCTAGCCTTTATTGTAACCGATTTTTAAAATTCGCGTTTGTTGCAAAATGGCGCTTAGTTGAATATAAAAGTGTAAATATCGTCTAAAAATCGATCAGGTTTTTGTTATAAAAACAAAACTGGAAAGCCTAGAAACAAATCCTATATTAGAAGACATATATTAAAGACTGCATATTTTCACGCTAAATAAATATTGTAGAAAAAAATCTGATTCGTTTCGATTCCATTCATTTATTTTTGAAATATATTGAGTACTGATTTGTAAAACACGATTTCAAAGTAAACACGCGTTCAAAGTAACAATATATAGATGATTTTTTTTTATTTACATGGAATCATCTATTATAGAACTGTATAATAAATCTCTTAATTCTTAAATCGAATTTAGCTTGCCTACGACGTTTCTTATTTCCTTAAACTATAACTTTTAATTTAAATTTATAACGCTATAATTTCTTGTATTTCGAATTGTAACTTTAGGAAAATAATCTTAAGATTTTATATTATAAGAAAATGCAAAAATTGGAAAATAGATTTTTTTACCCATCTAGGTGTACGTAACTCCTTAACAGAAAAATTTTTTACTCTGAGTTTTTTAATTTTTTGTTTTTTTTTTTTGCTTACCGCAATCAACATGTTGTAATGCTCCTTTATTGCTCCGTAACATCCTAGAAAAGCTATGGCGAAAACAATAAATCCCGCTACTATAAGCACTATAGGTGGTGCCATTATTCTACTTTCCATGAAATGATCGAATTCACCGACATCTGCTAATACCCATGCACCAGCCACAATAATACCTAAACCAGATATCTGAAAAAATCGATTTTAATCATTCTTGTATACGTATTTTTTTCATCCTTGAAATTTTTTTTCTCTTTTATATTTTCTCAACTTTTCAAAAAATAAAAATAAAACAAGTACAATAAAATGCATAATTTTTTAAATGTATTCATAAAAGTACATTTCTTAAATAAATATCCTTTAAAAATAATTTTATTTTTTAATTAATAAAAA